GCCTTGTGTACAGCGAGCATGACAACACGTACACACACAACACACACAGACTGCCGGGTACGTCGGCAGCCTGCCCGTGCTGAGGCGACGGGCCAATAACCCTGGGCGATAAGTGTTACCTTTTGGCTAGTTTCTCTTTTCTTGTTGATCGTGTCTTACGAACCTTGCTCTTTTCCTGAAAGTGGATCTTCAGGATTCTGAATTTATTCACCTTTGATGTCAGAAACACCATGCGAGCATCTGGAAAGAGATTTGAATGAGGATTTCCATGGCGGTGGCATGGCAGGAACAACATCTCCTGCTTATGATCCCCTTTACGATAACCCCCCTCATTCTTAGGGCCCGACAGTTGTTAGGGGCCCCAGGCCACACACCATTTTTTTGGCTGTGCAACCTGGAGGCCCACCGCCATGTCTAGGCCAGGCACGTTTTTCTGCCCCACGCAGGCTCTTTTTTTGAGTCAGCATGTTTTTATTTCCTTATTTATTTTTTTGCTGAGTCTTGCTGTTTTTTTTGGATTCATTGAATTTCATTCAGCATTTATTTATTTCCTTAATTCTCTTTTTGCTGAGTCTTGTTGTCTGGTCCATTTTTGTCGGTTCCAGGTGTGTCACCTCGGACTTTCCCCTAATAGGTAGGACCTGCTGTAGCAGCAAGATACCACCAGGAGGAGGATTTGGGCCTGCATTCAGGGCCTTCAATCGGATCTTAGATCTGTCGCTCCTGGATGCAGACCGTGGGCTGCCCTGCCAGGCCCAACACTATATCTAGTGGGTGGCCAGTCCAGTTCGGGCAGATTTTCAGTTGGGCAACATTGTGAGCCTCACGTTGTTGGAGCAGCATGCGACTTTTAGAGCGCTGCACTGGAGATAGAGGCGTAGGAGGTAGTGGGAGAGCGGAGGCTGGAGAGCCATAGCCAGTGGTTGGAGGACAACATACCTGGGCACCGTAGCTTGGACTGCACTCCAGCTACCTGCATCAGAGAGTGCCACTCCGCCAGTCAGTGTCAGCAGGACCTCAGCAGCAGCAGGTGAGGGGGGAAGACAGAGGAGACTTCTGCTTCTTCTTCTCCTCCTTCCTGCCTCCGACCTCCATAGTTACTGCTCTAGTTACTGCTCTAGTTACTGCTCTTCTTCTTCTTCTTCTTCTTCTTCTTCTTCTTCTTCTTCTTCTTTTTCCTCTTCTCCACAGAGAGAGAGAGAGAGAGAGAGAGAGAGAGAGAGAGAGAGAGAGAGAGAGAGAGAGAGAGAGAGAGAGAGAGAGAGAGAGAGAGAGAGAGAGAGAGAGAGAGAGAGGTTACAGTTAGAGGTTTTGTCGGGCTATGGGGCCCAGGATCTGATTCAACATCACAGGAGCAGACATTGATTGGACATTCGACAGGGAGACTATTTGTGGACAGCGCTATCACGACTTTGGTCTTCTCCCTCATTTCCATCTTCGTCTTGCTCATCCTCCATCCCTTCATCCGTGGTTTCTCCCCATGTGCGTGTTCAAGGAGAGACCTTTCTTCTGTGTATGCGGTCCCTCCCTTCTCTCTCACATGTGTGGTGTCTGACGGGTTGGGTCGAGTCAGTGTCCGACTGGTCAGGTCATGTCTTTGAGTCTTCCACTGCGCTACATTGTGCCATTTTTGTATGCATATAGATGTACATTGCTTGTTGATGCTTCACTGATGCTGCATTGTC